TTCCCATTTCCGTTCTCAGCCCTCCTTCGTTTTGCCGCGGAGGAGAAAACACACAAACTCACTTTACCACAGGGCAAAACTACACACACACAAAAAAAAATAAATAAATAAAAAAAAGGCATCAACCAGAATAAAATTCTAAAAAAAGGAAGAACGTTTTCTTCTCTCTTTTCCCACCCCAGCCACCTCCAGCTAACATTCCTCACTTTCCCGCTTACCCCTTCGTTTTCTTCACATGCACATACATGCGCCCCTCCAATCTATATAGCCCCCTCTTTCCCTCCCTCTCCTCCCCGCCGGCTTCGTTCGCGGGAGAGGGGTTGCCGCTTCACCCGCGTGCATCTCTCACCCTTCGGTCATCCCCAAACCCCCATCGCTGCCCTTTTGAGTCATGCGCTCAAGGGGGGAAGGGTCGCAAGGGACGCCGACGACCGCCTTGACTACCGCGCCAAAACCGCACCCCGGCCCCATGACCCCACGCTGCACCACCACACGCGCGCCTGCCGCCGCTGCCGCTGCTGCTGCTGGCTTGCGGCCACTGATTTCCATCTCCGCCGTCGCAGCGTAAACAAACAAACAAAAAGGGCCAAAAAAAAAACAGAGGGACCGCTTCTATTGGCTGCCTCCGCAAGAGAAGTGGATGAATGGCGACGGCTGCAGTGGTGAGAGGAGCGGAGGGTCTAATGGGAGAAAAGGAAGCGTAAACAGACCAACTTGTCGGGGATTAACAAACTGCGAACGACGGCCAACACCAACAACAACAACAACAAAGGGAAAGCGGCGCGGGAAGTTCAACCACGGAAAAAAAAAAGGGGTGAATGTAACCAAACCGGATAAGTGGTGAGAAACAGAGAGAGAAAAAAAAAAGTTATCTATGCTGCGTGCTGCACCAACGGAGATTTCACTTCAGTAGCTACAATAGAACTTGGTGGTGCGTCATGGTCAGGCACTTTTCGCTTCAGCGGCGGCGGGGAGCTGCGCGCGCTGCCGTAGTCCTTCTGCAAGAAGGGGTGCTGCAGCAACTCGTCCGCAGTAGGCCGCCTACAATGATCAATTGTGAGACACGCCCGAACAAACTCAAGGTATAAAGGGTCGTCGTACCCAAAAAGTGTTTCTAACGAACTTGCCGGAACAGGAAAATGGAACACGAGCTCCTTCCTCTCCCAGAACTCGTAAAAGGCACCATACTTTGTCACAAAAAGGTATGTGTTGCGCCCTTCGTGCAGCATAGAGGCCGGCAAAGGGCCGCAGACGCTACAGATGGCCGCCAACATCTGTGGCAAAGACGTGTTCTCAAACAGAACGTGGCCCGTCGCTAGTTCGGCCAAAATGGCCCCCAGGGACCAAATATCAACACGGCCATCATACTTGCAACCAAGTATCACCTCAGGGGCGCGGTAGCAACGGGACTGCACGTAGGAGCTGAGTTTGTCTGTCAGGTAGCAGCTACTCCCAAAGTCGATGATTTTTACCTCACATCGGCTAAATGAGCGGATGAGTATATTCTCCGGTTTGAGGTCACAATGCACTACGCCAATAGTTTGCAGAAAGGAGAGAGCCGTCAAAATCTGTCGCGCTATGGCTTGCAAACGAGGAAGAGTAAAATAAAATTCTGTCTCCTCTTCTCGATTAAATTTGCTGAATTGGTACAAGTTGTCACGCAACAATTCCGTTACTATGAACATGTGTTCCTTGTAGTAAAAATAGTCGTACAGCTTCACCACGCAGTTCTCCTCCGTGTCCCCAGAGGAGTCGATAAGCTTCAGCAGCTTGACCTCATCCAGGCTTTGATCAAAGAAATCCTTCGAGTTGCGTATTACCTTGAGGCAAACTTCTCTTTCCTCTTGTAGATCCATGCAGCGAACAGCCCGGGAGAATGCAGCGGAGTCGAGAAATTGCAGCATCTGATACCGACCAGCAACTACGGTATCCGCAACTATGGCAAAATCTTTTTCCTCCTCGAACCCCGTCTTCCCCACCTCATAAACTACGCGAAGGGGAAAGGAATCCAACGGTAAATTGGCGGGCGGCGCCTCCTTAAAGTATGGCCTGGTTTGCACAAGCCGCGTCTGCCCGGAGCCTTGCAGCTCCTTGTACGTCGACAAGGACACGCCCGCCCCTCGTTCGAAGTTTGGTGCAAGATAGTCCTCACCCGATAGCTCCCACAGCTCCTCCTCAACACCGGTGGAGGTCACCACGCGGTGCTTAGTTTGCAGAATTTGAAGGTTAGAAGCAGCGCAGGACGAACCCTTACGCGATCGCGACGACGCGCCAGACCGGCTCTTCTTGGGGCCCTTCTTCGCTCCTACGGGGTTGGCAGCATCCTGCTGCTTCACCAGCTGCTGCCACTGCTCCATAAATAACTGCAGGCAGTTTGAGAGACCCAAGTGGCGCAGGAAGGCGCCGAACTCCTTGGCTTTTGCGTGATCCTCAAGAGACAACGCGGGCGGCATGCTCGGCAATCCTCTACGTGCCCCGCTCCCTGTGACTTTTTTTCCCTTGCTAGCTTCCTTGATTCCGCCCTACTCTTCAAGCTGTGTGTCCGAGCCCTGACTCACCTTCCCGCCCGCCCCCCACTTGCAGGGAGCTACCAAAGCGAGCTTCTGGGAAGGGTGGTGCTCTTCTTTTCCTCGCGGTCCACCTCCTCCACGCACGGAGCGGCTGGCCCTCACTGCGGTGCCGGCCACACAAGGCCCAGCGACGGCAAGAATAAAAGCAAGAAGAAAAAAGATGCAGAAAGAGAGGACACACTCAAAAAAAAAAAACGGACATGCTCCTCCTCGCCCCCCTTTTTGTTTATTTTCTCCTACACACTATCGCATCCGTCAAGATACCGAGCAGCGGCGAAGAGAAAACGGAAACAGGGGCACATACACACACACACAAAGTGAAAAACAAAACACAGTTACATGTGGCGGGCGGCGAGGATATACGGTAGTCAATAGAACAGCGAGACCACGACGCGAAAGGGCGAATGCGTCTGCATTCCCGCCAGAAGAGGAAACAACAGCAACATGTCGTTGCTGTTGTTGTTGTTGTTTTTTTGTTAGGGAGGGGAGGGGTTCTTTTTAGCACTTTATGTACTTCGTACACCCCGACTCTCTCTTTTTCTCTCTCTCTCTCCTTCTCTATCCCTCTCTATTTTCTATGCGTTGC